GACTGTCAGAGTGGCCGAAGTGGTCGATCCTCACATTTCATTGGCAACGGCTTGTCTTCATCTACTCAGACGGCGCTACTTGGAGGTTCATGGGTAGTTATAAGTGGGGTTATAAGTAGGGTAACTATAGTTATGACCCATATTAGGGGACTTATAACCCCACTTATAACTACCCATGAACCTCCAAGTAATATGGGTTATAATTACAGTTGCCCGACTTATAACCCCACGTATAACTACCCATGAACCTCCAAGTGCGGCTTCAAGGGTCCAGGGTCGTAGGGCTTAAGGCTTTGAGGTGTAGGGTTCAGGGTTTAAGGCTTAGCTTCAAGGTTTCAGGGTCGCAGGGTTCAGGGCTTTGGGGTGTAGGGTTTGGGGTTTCAGGCTTAGGACTAGTATGCACCTTTCCTGTTCAGCATCTGAGGAAATACGGCGTTTGAGGAAATGCGTGCAGGTTCAGGGTCCTGGGAGGGTCTATCGCAAAAGGACTGAACATCCCCAGCCTGTCGGCCTTTCCCTAGCCTCTCGCTCCTTCTACCCGACTGCCAAAGGAGTAGCAACGGATTTTGCAGCAAGAGAAAAAGAGGCAGGGGACAGACAAGACCATGAAGACAAGGTGTGGGTAGTTCTATCTAAGAGTGTGCCGTACTATTCTTGGGACCTACAAAGGGGCCGAACCGCCCCAGGTATTTCTGGGGCATACGGCAAGCTCCAGCTTCAATGCATTCCCTCTCCTCTCTGATTCCTGTGCCTTCTCATCTATAGCATCTAATTCTTGAGGCGTGCTGTTGCGGGGACTTTGCTCCACCAGACGACATGCCCAGGGGGCACAAGCTCCTAAAGCTTTTTGCTCAAGAATGTAAACCCAGAACCCAAAATCCAACCTCCAAAAGGCTTCACCCCTTTCCACAGCGCTGCGCCTGGGCTTCGCAGTGCTCGATCCCAGAACCACCGCCTGCTCACTCCCCACTCGGAGGTTCATGGGTGGTTATAACTGGGGCTGGAAGTCCCCTAATGTGGGTTATAATTACAGTTACCCTACAAAAAACTTTACTGATAAATACCCATGAACCTCCAAGCAGAAAGCACCATATACCTTTGTTATGCCTTAAATTATAGGGGGCCTTACTGTAATAGGGCTCCTTGAAGGGTAGCTATAAGGGTAGTATGATAGGGTTCCCTGAAGGAACCTACCATAAAACTATAGGGGCCTTCGTATTATGGTTTAAGGACTATTCCTGAATCAAGGAGTATTGGGCTTTCTGAGTCCCAACAAGGCGGCAAGCCATCTTTCCGGCTCCACCTCAACCCCGGGTTTAGGGTTTAGGGTTTAGGGTTTAGGATTTAGGGTTTAGGGTTTAGGGTTTAGGGTTTAACAACCTACCTTTTTGAGCACTCATAAAAGGAAGCCATATTAAGGAACCCTGAAAACGTAGGTTTCCTGAGGGTCCAGGTAGGGGTTTGGGGGCGTTCCGGTGGAAGGCTTGGGGCTTGGAGTCTGGGGTCTCGCTTGCAGAGCTTGGGGTTGCGGGAGCTTGCTTAGGGCTTAGGGTTTAAAATTTAGGGTTTAGGGTTTAGGGTTGAAAATTTAGAGGGCTTCAGATTGGGGTCTAGGGCTGACGGTAAAAGCGTTATGATGGCACTGACTGAAACCCTAAACCCTAAACCCTAAACCCTTAAACCCTAAACCCTCAACCCTGAACCCTAAACCCTTACCCCTAAACCCTAAACCCTAAACCCTATAGCCCTAAACCCTAAACCCTAAACCCTATAGCCCTAAACCTAAACATCAGCCGAGCCACCTGCCGCAACACGGCCAGCAGCGAGCCGGCTCGAGGCCGAGGCCCCTGCTGCATTGGATCCCGGAGCCACGGTCTAAAGGGTACTATAGGGATCCTAGGCTTCCTTTAAAGGGTACTATAAGGGGGCTTAGGGGGTTTAGGGGGTTTAGGGGGTTTAGGGGGTTTAGGGGGTTTAGGGGTTTAGGGTTCTAGGGCTAAGGCTTTCAGGCTTGGGGCTTCTTAGGGGGCCTCCTTAAAGGGTTCCTTAAAGGGTTCTATAAAGGATCTATAGGGATTTAGGGTTTAGGGTTTAGGGTCTACTTGGAGGTTCATGGGTAGTTATAAGTGAAGTTATAAGTCCCCTAATATGGGTTATAACTATAGTGGATCCCGGGTTAGGGGCCTAAGAGTCCTTTAAGGGTTCTTTTACCCGGTCCTTTATAGGGGTCCTTTGTAGGGATCCGTCAAGGAGTCCTCTATAGGATTCCCTTTGGGTTTAGGGGTTCTAGGGTCGGGGGACTTAGTAAATGGTTATTTTATAGACTTATAAGTACTATAACCCCAATTAGGGTCCCTTTTAGGGTACTTATAAGTCTACTTGTTACCTACTTACTAAGTCTCCCGACCCTCCAAGTGCT